TGGGCCAGAGCCTCCTCATCGAACTGTACCTGAGGCTCCACCGCTGGTTCTGCTGTTCGAGCTATGGGTTATGCCCTGCCCATGCCTCTGCCTCTAGCACGGCCTCGGCCTCGTCCTCCGCCCCTCGTAGGAGCTGCCACTAGGGGCTCGGGCTGCTGATCAGCTGATGAAGCGGTACGTTTTCTCGCCATCAGCGAAAGAACAGAGTAGAGAGTTCAATTAGCATTGAGATATCAAAACGCACGACAGAGATGGATAGAAGTGAAATTGTTCCTAACTCTGTAGCCTCTAGGGGATAAGCACAGACGTCTCCATACCGATCCCTCAGACTCTACCAAGCTTGTCCGTGAATTGTGAGACCTAGGCAACCTAGTGCTCTGATACCAACTTGTCACGACCCGAATTTCACACCGTCGGGACAGTGATGGCGCCTAACATCTCACTCGCTCGGCAAGCCAACGTTTGAGTTATAATCAGCTTTTTCCTTTATATTTTCATAATTAAGATTAACAAAAGCTAATCCAACAGAAATAAAAGTGGAAGTACATATTTAGCCAATTAACCTTATACTATCAACCAATCTGAAAAAGTTACCACCCAGAAACTGGTGTCACAACTCACGAACATTCTATGAATAACTACAAATATAGGTTTGAAAGAAAATACATTTGTCTCGAAGAAAGTAAAACAAAAATGAAGTAAACATAGGAGGGGACGCCAGGGCCTGCGGAGGCCTACAGGACTACCTTGGGTCTCCCGAGTGAAGTATCAGCAACCGACCTCTCGATCAGCCACTACCAGCTCCGAAATCTGCACAGAAAGTGCAGTGTGTAATATCAGTACAACCGACCCCATGTACTGGTAAGTGCCGAGCCTAACCTCGACGAAGTAGTGACGAGACTACAGCAGGGCATAAACAATATATCCTGCAACAGTTTATAATAAGGCAAAAAGAAAATACGGAATGAAATAGGACAGTAACTTGCATTAAATAAATATGGAACCTAGTCGTTCTACAAATACTCAGCTATAACCAATCCTTAAAAGAGTTTCAACACCACAATAATGAATCTCAGCAGAAGAAGAATACATAAACAACAAATGATGCGGCGCGCATCCCGATCCCACCAAATAATCAATAATAATATGAGCATTTACCCGTATTACTCCTTGATGCGGCGTGCAACCCGATCCCACCAGTCCACCCTTATTACTCCGCAATATATATCACTTTTATTCCTCTTGTTGCGGCGTGCAACCCAATCCCACCAGTCCACCCTTATTACTCCTTGTTGCGGCGCACAACCCGATCCCACCAGACAATCACATTACACCTGTATTCCTCCTGTTGAGGCGTGCAACCCGATCCCACCATATCAGTACCAATCACAAAATAAGAACAAGTATTTCACAAGTTAACCCAAATCCTCCACAACGTTTATACCTCAAACCAAAACAACGGAAGATCTCTACAATTATGAAACTTCATCAGTTGATACTACACAGCGGGACCAACCAAAGTGTACCATGAAGCACCAATAAACCAACGTAAACCAACAATATAATATAATGAAACTACGGAATAATTAATACCTTCAATAGAGAAAACAATATTTAACAAGAAGCAATTAGACATGGAAGTATCAATAAGCAGGTAGCAGTTAAAACAGGAAAGCAATATATTAGGAAACGGGGAAGGGAATAGGCTAAACAGATAATTTGGCGGCGCATAGGTACTCGTCACCACACCTATACGCCACACACATGGAATTTCACATAGGAATTAAGTCGGGGATCCCTAATCCCTCGAGTCAAGGTTAGACCAAACACTTACCTCAAGCCAACGGGTATTTCAAAGCTCAATTACCGATTTACCTCTTGATTCCACCTTCAATCCACTCGTATCTAGTCATAATTAACTTAATAACATCAATTAATACTAAAGAAATCAATTCCAATGCATAATTATAGATTCCCCAATATTTTTCCCAAAAGGTCAAAAAAACGACCCCGAGCCCGCTTGGTCAAAACCCGAAATTCGGACAAAAACCCGATTACCCATTCACCCCCGAGCCCGGATATACAATTGGTTTTGGAATCCGACCTCAATTTGAGGTCCAAATCCCCAAATTTCGAAATTCCTAAGCTCTACCCAAAAAATACCCAATTCCACCATGAAAAACCCTAGATTCTAGGAAGAAATTTTGTAAAAAGATGAAATAGATTGAAAGAAATGAGTTAAGAATCATTTACCTATGATTTTGGGATGAACTTGCCCTAGGAAAATCGCCTCTTGAAGTTTAGGTTTTGAAAAATGGGAGAATGAATGAAAAATTCCGTCTAAGACCCTTTTATTCAGCTGTGGATCGCAATTGCGACCTGAGCTTCGCAAATGCGAAGGAGCCATCGGAAATGCGAAGCCCTTCACAGTCCTGTTGCCTTCGCAAATGCGAAGAAAGTGTCGCGTTTGCGAACACTGTTCCTCGCAAATGCGAGTAGAAGATCGCATTTGCGATCATACCCCTTCCTAGACTCCCTTCACAATTGCGAAGATTTGTTCGCATTTGCGAACTCTGCTGGCCCAAGCTTTCTTCGCAATTGCGATCAATACCTCGCAATTTCCATGCCTGCTTGGTTCGCATTTGAAGCCTGATCTCGCAACTGTGAGATCAGAGGCCTACTACAGACACCAGTTACACCAGCAAATTTCTAAGTTCCAAAATCACTCCGTAGCCTATCCAAATCTCACATGAGTCCTCGGGGATCCATACCAAACATGCACACAAGTCTTAAAACATCATACAAACTTGCTCATGCGATCAAATTGCCAAAATAACACCTAGAACTATGAATTTAGCACCAAATTGCGTGAAATTTTCAAGATAGTTTCAAAACTTTTATTTTCTCAACCAAAGGTCCGAATCACGTCAAATCAATTCCGTTTTTACCAAATTTCACAGATAAGGCTTAAATATCATAACGGACCTGTACCAGGTTCCGGAACCAAAATACGGGCCCGATACCAACAAGATCAAATCTTTTAAATTATTACTTTTTCAGTCTTATCAATTTCCTTCAAAAATTTATTTCTCAGGCTAGGGACCTCGGGATTCGATTCCGGGCATACGCCTAGGTCCCATATTTTACTACGGACCCTCCGGGACCGTCGGAACACGGGTCCGGGTCCGTTTACCCAAAACGTTGACTGAAGTCAACAAAAATCAACTTTTTAGGCCAAAATCATCATTTCTTAAATTTTTCACATAAGGGTTTTCCGGATAGGGCTGCTTATCGGGCGGATTAGGCAGTTATTTACTCTTAACGGTTTGGCTTATCGATTATCAGCTTTTAAATGTATTAATCCGCTAGCCACCCGAGAGATATCGGGCGAACTTGTATCGGTTTAACTCTTATCGGGCGGTTTATCGGCCTAATTCAATCAAAATAAAATAAAATTTAGTCTCTGTATGTCTAAATAGGTGGTCGACGTACTAAGAGGGACGAAACAGAAGAGACACCGTGATGGATAAATTATCTGTCTAGAATCTTATTTATGTTTGTGCACATTGGCCTTAGTCCATGTGAAAGATTTCCAATTGGCCGTTGTTAAAACAAATGTTCGTCATGCTTAGAATTCTAGGACGTCTTAAAACCCAGGCAAAGTTGATGAAGCAATGGTGTAACTGGTGTTGTTATCTTGTTTCAGATAGCAAATTTTGTCTTTTGTCACAATTAGATGACTCCTTTTATTTGGCTTTCTTTTATTCTAATTTACTTTCATAGAGTACTGGAGGAAGAAGGGTTTTTGATTATTTTATATATATATATATATATATATATATATATATATATATATGAATAAAAATAAATTTTATATGTATATATGTATTCTTAACGGGTTAACGGCATATCCGTTAAGAAAATTGAATAATCCGCCCCCAAACCAATAAGCCGTTAATAAAAAAAAATTCAATTTGTCCCCCGCCCGTTAAACCGTTAACCCGATAACAATAAACCATTAAGCTTCGGTTTCGATTCGGTTTTCGGTTTCGGTTCGGTTTGAACACTCCTATTTCCGGATATACGCCCGGACTACGCACGCAAATCGTGGAGAGATAAAATGAGGTTTTCAAGGCCTCACAGCACGGAATCGAATTCTAAAACAGAAGTTTGGGTCATCACACAAAGTGACTTTGCTTGTATTTTGATAGGCCTTGACAGCAATGGATAAGGATTAGTTTATCATCTTGGCCTTCTTCATATTAATCAACTTCTTTTGCATAGAACTCTCTTGGGTTTGAGTCTAACTAGATGTTAAGACAAGATCACAAATTTTCAATAGACAGAATCATTATGTTTTAGTTTAAGAAAGTTTTTCTTATATTAGAAAAATATAATTCATAGAGAGTTAAGCACACTTTATCACAGACTAATGTTCATTCTTGATAGTTACAACTCTACTTGTTTCCTACATCAAAGAATAAATGGAAGTAGATATTATTACAGATGATGTTGTAATTTTTTGTCCATGCTCTTGCATTATTTTCTTGAAAAGATATAATACCATAGTGGAATAGTTTAATCAAGTAAAATTGATAATTCCATCCGTAATCCTTACACGGATATTTTATATTCTTTTTTTCCTAATGACACATACAAATATATATATATATATAACAAACATGCAGACAAAGAAATCGATACAAATTGCGATAAAATAATATATCAATTGTCTAGTGTCGCCTCCTCAAGATTACACTCATTATCAAGGTAAAGTATGCCTTAGAGTCTTAACGATAACATTGAAGCGTCTGCTAAGCGAGGCAAAACATTCAACATGTTTTGTGCCTCACTTCAGGGCTTACGCGAGCTTTAACCACGCCTTTAACATTGTTTAGGCTTCAGAAAGAAAGTAATTAGGTAATGCCACATTCTGCCAAGTCCAACAGCAAAAAGGTTTTCTGGCAGATATTCTCCTTCAGGATAATAATTTGACAATCTTCAAGAAATTTAAACCATGATATAACAGAAAGAGTGGCGGTACCATCTTAAAGGGAGAAAATAAAATCATCAGAAAACTGATATCAAGTTCAAGACAATATCCAGGATCACAACTAACCAAAAAATTCAGTAGTATCTATCGCGCATACAAAGCAAAACGCCAAAACTGCCAAGATTTGTAATACAATTTAGAAGACGCGTTGAGTCTTTCCCATGGTACTCTTTAAGTACAGGCATCTCACCTGTTAGCATTAACGACAAAGAGATGTTAGAAATAAGTTTAAACAATAAATGAAGTTATCAGACTCGAAGAAACTATAAGCTAAATGCTCGTGGATAAACGAAGTAATCGGATGTTAAGTACACTCACATTTTGCCAGTTCTTTTTTAGCAAAGACACTAGAAAGTTGACACTCATCTGCACATTCTGGAAGATTTGTTTCTCCTCCATATCCATATTACCAACAGCAACTCCCATGCAAAGCACCTTCTTCAATTGGAATTTTATAGTGGCCTTGGTCTCGTTAACCTTAGACTCGAGCGATTCTTGGTGGCTAACAAGGCTAGGAAATTTACCTGCAGTTTAAAGATAAAGAGAAGTAGTTTATACATTGGCAAAAATGATTTGAATAAACCATTGCGAGTAAGATGGCACTTAGGATAAAAATACCAAGTCCACAATAGGAAAAAAAATATACGAACTTTTTCACACTAAGATTGATACGACATTGATTGCTAGAAATGATATTTGGGGAAATTTGGTGTATTAGAGAGGTAACATTTCATTAACAAAATATCTGGCTGGTAAGTGCGTGTGTTTTTGTGACATCATATGTACGTATAGGTAAAGCCAATGGTGCTAGGGACAGTACAACTCAATCAAAATAAGGCACAACCACCAATATGCACAACTATAAAGCACAAAGATGAGACGTAAACCAAAGAGGCTGAAGAGCTAAGCTAAAACATCAAAATAGTCTAATGAACTTACCGGCTTTGTTCAAGCCGGGCCCCAAGAGACGGGGGATTTGCTTTATAACAGCTTCTGATGCCAAAAAAGCATGGTATTTCTTTGCGAGCTTCTTAACCAACTTCTTGTTTTTGTTAAGCTTCTTCAGGCCTTCCACGTCCATGTACTCCAACCCAATCTTTTCAGCCTGAAAAACAAACGCAACAAGCTTTCATCACCCTTGCACAAAATCACCTTAAGCAGTACCCCTAGAAGTAGCTTTAGCCTTCAGGTAAACTAACAAACACAAAATTTTCAAATAGTTATGAGGACTAGGCGATCAACTTCATACACATATGGAACTCTATGAAATTTGCTGCTTCCTCAAATCTAAGACATAAATGCAATAGCACTATCTAAATTTATCAGGTATCAGTAGTGTGCATCCTAAACAAAACATTCAGTCACCGCCAGGACATTTCATCAAAGGACAACCCGGTTCACAAATCATCCCACATTCACACAAGGTCCACAGAAGGGTCGTACCCCAAGGGGTGTGATGTAGACAACCTATCCTAATGCAAGCATAACCGGTTGCTTCCACGGCTCGAACCCGTGACCTATAGGCCACACGGAAACAACTTTACGGTTGCTCCAAAGGTCCCCTTCATTGCCAGGATGTTTAATCAAAGCCGAAAAAATAGACCAGAAAACTTTGAAGAGTGCTTTGATAACGAATGCTATAATCCCATAACCACACTAAGCTAGGAAAAAGAATAGTTGAATCACGTTTTATTATACAAATCATTGAAGTATAAGCCTTTAAGGATCCATCGCCTAAAACTTAACAGAATATTATTGAAGTGATACTTATGCAAATGTGAGTCAGTAGCTTGTTCAACTGCCAAAAATATGGTAGACACACGAAGAAATTCAGCTCAATTATTACAGTGACTAGTTAAAGTGGATTACCTCTTCAACATGCTGAGCATCTCCAAGCATGCAAATCTTCATCTTAGGGCGAGGAATGTGAGGCAACTTGACTGAACCACTGAAACGCTTGTCCTTTTGGGGATCATAGTTTTTCAGCCCAATCTGGAGCTCAATGGTTTCAGTGAACTTCCTTTTCTTCTCATTTGAAGCACTCTTAATCACAGTGATGGCTTCTCTTAGGGCATCACTCTGAAGCTTACTGTAATTATTAAGGTAATTAACAAGACAGTACAAGATACTCCAAATAGCAAATTTAATAAAGTTCTTATCAAAGATATTATGCTAAAGGCACAAAAGTAAAATATAATCAATCAACTATAACTCAAGGTCCTCATCCCAAACTAGTTGGGCTCAACACAATGGCGGAGCCACTTAGGCTCAAGGGTGGTCAGTTGAACACTCTTCATCGGAAAATTATGCTGAGTATGTAGGTCAAGTATTACATTTTATGCGTATATATTAAATAATCTTGAACACCTTTAGCGAAATTTTTGACTTTGCCACTAGGTCAAATATATAAATCCTCTATATCAATTCCTTTGTCCTCTCTTTACTTCATGTGCCACTGGAGCAACCTCGCTTGCCATATCCATTCTGCTCTATTTCGGTCTCAATTCATTTCAACAATTCGATAATCCGTCAACTAAAGCAAATTAAGGTTTCTCTAAATTATGTATATCTCACACTCCAGCCCCCTTACACTGAGATAAAGTTCAGTAACACTGACCATACCAACCGTATTAAAATTACTCATAGCAAATACGATGTAGACGATCCAATCCCTACACCTAACTTGCAATATTTGACACCTGCCAAGTAGTAAATTTTACTTGACTTCCTAATTTGACTTTCAAAAATATAGGCATTTTTCTGAAATTAGATTCATTTGCACATTCCAAATAACCCCACATCAACAAGTGCTATTTACCGTACAAATAAATATTTGAAAAGAACAACACACATTTTTTATTTTATTTTGTATAATATTAGCCTGAGATGAGTTTATACGGATTAACATGGTTAACGAGGATTCATATAGCCGACCCCAACTTATAGGGAACTGAGGGGCAGTTGTTTTTGCTGTAAATAAAAAGTTAAAAGAACAAAATTTCTATAAAATGAGAAAATTATCCATCTCTAGTTTCATTATTCAGCCAATCAAATTATTGTCATATATTAAATCAACAATTATCTAATAAACCAAAATCCTACATTCAAAAAGATTCATAAGTGATAATCTACATACTCTGAATATGAAAAATCAAGGAACATTTACATCGCAAAAGGATAAAAACAAAACGAAAATTTGGAGTTTTGTTTATACCTCATGGCTCAAAGCAGAACTTCAGGAATTGGCTGCAAACAGAAAGGAGAATGAGTGAGGGAGTAAGCGGCGGAGAGGTGCTAAGAATTTGAGGGTTAAAGCTGGTTCTGATTGGGCCTATTTGCACATTCTTTTGGATTATGTTGCTTATTGGGCCTGCCTGCTATAAGATATTTGGGCTTGTGCTGAAGTCCATTTTTTTCAACGGGAAAATGACACTGTATAACCGTGTAGAAATAGCGTGAGGTAGCCACTATTTAAGGTGGTATTTATTTTTTATCCAGCAATTCTAATGTTGAGCAAAAATAGCCACTACTTTATTAAAATTAATATAAAAAGATATTTTTACCCTTTCTTCCATTGCCTTTCTTCCCAAACCCTCGCTTCTCTCTCTCTGACCCTCAGAAGAGAACGAGAAGGAGTTGACTATTTGATAGAGAAAACAAAGAAAATGGGATTAATGGTTTCGAATTCCTTACTGCTTTTATAAGCCTCTCATTTTCTTTTGTGTCTGCTTTCAGGAGTTGGATTGCTTGGTTTCACTCATAATAGTCACAACGTGGGAGGACGTGACTTTTGGTTTTCTAAAAGAAGTGACTTTTAGATTTTCTTAAACAACAGATAATTAGGAAAAATATGGTAAAAAGCCAAAAAGTTGAGGACAAAGATAATTGTGTTGAGGACATGTAGTCCAGAAGTCCTAAAGTTAAATTCAAAAGTTAAGGACATGGTCCTGAACTTAGAGTTTCAAGTTCAAAAGTTAAGGAAATGTAGTCCTGAATTTCTAAAGTTAAGTTCAATAGTTAAGGACACAAGTTCAAAAGTTAAGGACAGGCAGTCCTTAACTTACAGTTACAAGTTCTAAAGTTAAGGACAGGTAGTCCTTAACTTATAGTTACAAGTTCAAAAGTTAAGGACAGGCAGTCCTTAACTTACAGTTACAAGTTCAAAAGTTAAGGACAACAGGTCCTTAACTTTGATTTTCATGTTCAAAAATTTAGGACAGACAGTCCTTAACTTACAATTACGCGTTCAAAAGTTAAGGACAAGCAGTCCTTAACTTACAGTTACAAGTTCAAAAGTTAAGGACAATAGGTCCTTAACTTTGACTTACAAGTTCAAAAGTTAAGGACGCTTGGTCCTGAAGTTTGAGTTCCAAGTTCAAAAGTTAAGGACATGTAGCCTTGAAGTCCTGAGCTTAGAGTTACAAGTTCAAAAGTTAAGGACATGTAGTCCTAAAGTCCTGAACTTAGAGTTCCAAGTTCAAAAGTTAAGGACATGTTGTCCTGAAGTTAAGTACAAAAGTTAAGGACATGAGCAGAAGGGTATTTTCGTCCGGGCAGTTAAAGTTTATTAAAGCAGTGGCTAAAGACTAAAGACATTTTAAACGGTGGCTTAAAAGTAAATACATATGTTATTAGTGGCCAACCGTGCACTTCCCCCTATAATCGTCCCCAAATAATAGTCGAAAAAATATATATTTTATGTATATATATATACATATTCTGTATGTTATATACATAAATTATACAAATTTTATATATTTTTTCGGCTACAGAATGTAAATAGTTTCTGGCACGTGCTAAAAATGATAACACCCCTTTTTCAAATGCAAGAATCTGCCAAAAATTTGTAGAAATATGACACTTTTGGGCAGAACTTTGACTCCTGCTTGCCCTATGGGCAGAAATTCAAGGTCAAAGGTTAAAAGTGTTGCCCATGGGATAAGCAAGGGGCAGCACATGTTAAACTTGAAGTTCTGGAATAGGCAATGTGGGACAGAAATTCAACACCATCCACTTTTAGGGCTATTTACGCACTTCAATTTGCACAGTGTCCTTTCTGGCGGCTTGTATTTAAATTTTGCCTTTATTTTTAAAAATTTTACAGATATAAAAGTTACGAGAGTCAATTGGTTTTTTGGCTCTTTATAAACTTGTTTTTAGTTTTATAACCCTACCTTTTTTTTTACACATGGGAGATTTATTTTTACAGTTAAGAGATCGTCTTTTACACGTAAGAAATCTAAAAAGGTCATTTTCTTAAATTTAAAATTGTAAAGGGGCATGATGTACAAATAGCACCATGCACAAGTTACAACGTTGCGAGGCATAATTTGTTTTGAGTTATGCTCCATTTGTACAAAGTTGTCGACCCGACATAACTTTGAGTATATGTTATATCCTACCAATTTATTCATGTAAAACTTACTTAAGTAGGAATAAAATTTAAATAGCGGCCTGAAATGATCTTATTTGTCCAAATCTTCCTTCCAAATGAGATTCCAAGTATTTTTAACTCATAAAATATGTTGTATCAAGACAGTTTGCATATAATTAGCTCATCTTCTATATTACACATTCGTGTGCGGCTTTCCCTCGTACCTTGCGTGAACGGAAGATGGCTTATTATATATTGGGCTACTTTTTTTTAGATGAAAGAACAATGAACTTAACTTTACTCAAGTTTCATCATTTTGTGCTAATATTCTAACAAATATAATTGGATGATAATAGGCAAATTTTGAGTTTGAAGTCACCAGTCACAAACTGTTTTGCGAGAATGATTTGATTGATAGTAATAAATATTTCTAAAAAGTTATTATGGTGCTAGCGATTTCTTTATTTTTATCTTTATTTTCAAACTTTTTCCAATATATCGGAAAATTGAGAAAGCAAAAGGGAAAATAGAGACTCCCAGTGATACCACTAAGCTAGTTCATGTTGCTCCTAGTAATTAAATTATTTCATTTGTTCAAAATCATGTTGATTAGCTGTTATGATATAAATAACTTATCCAATAGGAAAAAAACTATTAAGCTATGAAAAGGAAGGCTCTAACTGTGGAGGGAAGAAATTCAGGTAGAAGGGGCGCCCGCAACAGTAAAGTTATCCCGTATAATTTATAGACTAACGGTTCGAACTGTGAAAGTATCCACTAATACGTACATTAAGGTATATCGTCTATATCACATGTAATACTTCATATTTAAGTTAGGGTATTTTGTCTTTTAACATAAATTAACTTTAAAAAAAATAAGAAAAAAACAAAGGAAAAGAAAAAGAAGAAAACCTAGTCAATTAAAAGAAAGGGCAAAGCCCACTGGAACGAAAAGAAAAGGGGCTTAAGGATGGGGAAACGCAGCAATAACGGCTAACAAAGTTAGAAGAGAAGAAAAAAAAGGAACAATAGATTCGGAGGAGGAAAGCAACGAGAGCTTCTGGTTCTAAAGTAAGAGGGAAAAAATCAAGCAGAGTTCCATAGCTGCTAGCAACTTGGTGCTTCAATATAATTATTCACAACCATTGTTATTTCTGAATTCAAGGTATATCTTATTATTTCATTGATACGGGTATCTTTGATTTATCATGATTTCAGTTAAATAGTGATATTGGTAACTTAGTGGGTTCCAATTGAAGTGGATGCAAGAATGCTCATGAAAAAAAAAATCAGATTTTATATTTGATGGATTAATTAAAAAAGAATCAGATTTTAATTATTTTTTTCCTGAAAATTTAACAATTTATATAGATTGTGAATAGATTATTGAGTACCACTAGGAGATAGAGGTACTGGAGTATATTTGAGTGAATAATTCGCTTTAGAAATCTACCTTGATAAAGACATGGGCAATTAATGCTTAAACAAGGATGAGAATCTTTGTGTGTATATATATAGTCTCAAAAATTTACCAAGACTAAAGAATGCAAGGAAGCCAGAGGACTATTTTTAGAGGCATGGACAAAAATTCAACTTGACAAATTGAGAATCAAATATTGAAACCTTAAGAGTGGAATATCTTGAATTAGTTACGAATTAGCTTATACAAATAAATCAACACTAGATCAATATGATGTGATTATAGATTGATTGAAGGAAGTCCTATGGATTGCTTGAGGTGACGCGTTTGGTATTTCGGCACGAGTACTGTGAGTAGTAATCTTACCGCAATTTGTGTTTCCATAACCTGCATGGTTTATACATTATTTTGAAAATAAAATGTAATGCTGAATGTTTGAAATTACACGTGGGACAAATCTTTTACTTGATATGGTACTGAATAGTTTACTTGAGATATTTACAGTTATTTAAAATATTCTCACTGATACTAGACATGTTTTTCTATTACTAGAGATATGATTACCGTTACTGAAATTGGATTACATGATTTGATAAAAATTAAAATGCCCTGTACAAAGAAAAGTATGAATGGGAGGAGACTTTGAAGGATCCCGTAGCTAACGCCGGGTTTGTTAGACCTGGTGCACCTTGTATTTACCGATTACCGAGTACAGTTATAGCTCTCGCTAGTGGGAAAGTAGAACTAGCATACAGTTACAGTTTTCTCTCGGGTAGGGACCTACAGTTATATTTGACTCATTTTACGAAGGGGTCCACACAGTGATACAGATTACATGATCCTTTTTTTGGAAGCCTCCCAAATATAAAGATTTGCTATGACGCAGTACTTACTGAGTTTATTACTGAATTGTTAAATTGATTTTGTTACCGGAAACACATGATGAGACTGATTATTATTACCGTTTTAAAAAAGGCATTTTATTTTTGATTATTATACAAGCATATTTTCTGACTTGTCCCCTATTAAAACGGTTGTGGTTAAGTATTATTACTCACTGAGCTAGCGACTCACTCCCCGCTATTATATTTACAGAGGCAGCAATAGACGCATGCGAGGATACCGTTAATTAGAGTATACGAGTTGACAGTTTCTGGTGAGCCCCGCAGCTGTCGTGTGGGCAAGGATTGTTTTTATTTGTTATAGCCTTTTTCTTGAAACTCTTACAGTCGCTCCATAGTCATTTCATGAGTATCACGGGTATTTTTTTATTGATATAGATTTGTGACTTGTATTAGTCTTTCCTATCGTATTTTTGGAGATGAAGTTAGTATTATTGTGTTGGGAGTACTTCGTTGATGAGGATTATAACTTGTTTTGGTGGATATTGGTTGGTTGTGTTGTTAATTTCTAAGACATGATTATTTTTGGAAAGTCCTAAAACGAGGAAAACTCTGTCCCATTTTCTATAAAATACCGATGAAGCTTACTTGGGAGCACTTGCTCCTAGGTGCCGGTCATGATCCTA